CTTCCCAGCTCCCAGCCATGAGGGCTCCTGTACAGGGTTCATAAAGCGAGTGTGCTAGGATGCATGGGCTCAGTCTGACCTGAGTTCAAATCCTGGCTCCTCTTATAAGTCCATGACCTTGGGCAGGTCATTTCCCCTCCCCGCTTCTGCACCGAAGCCTTGTGGACAGCGTTCAAAGAGAAGCGGTTAGCCCCGGTCACCCGGGCCGCCCTCAGACAGGTTAACTGTTACCATCTCTGCTTGGCCGTCCATTCCAAGTGCCCCAAAACACAGTTCCTATTTGCTAACCCTGGGCAGCACCGCTTTCTAACAGATTCTCAAGGAGACACTGAGGCAGAGGTGGGGAGGTTGCTTGGTGGGTGGGCGAGCGGGTCGCACCAGCCAGCAGGGCTCAGCGGGCAGGGGTTGACCCACCCGGCGGCTCCCCCAGAGCAGCGGCGGGAGCCCCCGTGCATCTGCCGGGCCCCACCGAACTCCATCCACCTCCAGCTCTGGGCACACCGCACAACGAGGTCAAGGTTCACAGCATCGCAGACAACAGGCACCAGGGCAACAGAAGGCGGCCCAGGCTGAACTGCTGTCTGCGCCGCCGAAGCAGGATTTCGAGCCCCAGTCTGGCTGGGCGCCCGTGACAGCTTCGTGCTCCTTCAAGGCAGGAAGAAGAACCAGCTTTGCATCCCCAGGTGTGTGCAGGATGCTACGGCTTAGCACACGTTTGCTAAAGTGAACAGAGAAGGGCTGAGAATGTGTAGGGGTGGCGGGGGCTTTTACAGGCACAGGGCATCTTTCAAACCCTGGCCTGACACGACCCCTGACCAACAGTCCAGTGGCCCCAGAGCTAGTGGAGCATTCAGCTGGACACTAAGGCCAAGTCTAAGAGAGAGAGGAGACAGCCAAAGTGGCCCTGTCATCAGGAAGGCGCCGGAGCCCTCGTCGCCCACAGCAGAGGCCGGCCAACCGACTGCCTCTGTCCTCAATTCTGTCCCAAGTGGCCCCACGGAAGTGGGGGCCCCCAGGGGAAGGCCGCCCACATCCGGTGATTCTGTTTTCACCTCTCTCAGAAGGTCAAGAGCTTGGGCCACCCCCGTTTCCTTGCAAGGGACACTGTGAGGGTGGCACAGGCAGTCTTTGCCCAGAGGGACATCCAACGCTCTCTGCCAGGGTCATTCATTTACACACAGTTTTGTGAGCCACCCAAGCGAACATATCACGAAGGACTTCATCGGCCCGAGTGTCAGTACAGCCAGGGGTGTGACGAGCCTCCTGGGAGAGGCCGTGTTTTCTGCCCGGCTCACTCGACCTCGGAGACAGGCCAGGAGGTCTTCCTTCCAACCCTCCCTGGGGACGGCCTGGCAATGTCACAATTGTATCCTCAGGGATTCCAGAATTCCACGGTTCAGGGCCGTAGAAAAAACTTCAGGCGAGCGGCTGAGCAGTGGGCAACATACCGTCCCGTTAATGTAAACACACAGATAGAGAGAAGGCTGTAAGGAATCAGGTCCCTGGTCCAAGGCCCATGAGAGTCGAGCTCTCTGGAAAGAATCAGGACCATCCGACCATGACAGCAGCCACTGCCTGCACATGAAGGCGGGGACTCCTTGGTCTCCATGATTACGGGGCCACAAAATCCCTCTGTACCCAGCTGCCCATCACCACGACAACGGCGACTACCTGTGCTCAAAGTAAGCACACAGTTTGAAAAACAAGCCTCCTGCCTGGGCTCCTCCTGCCTCCCCGGCTACCACCCACACCGGGTTGGGTGGAACAGGGCCCCGCCCATGGCCTGCTGAGCGGATCTTCCGGATGGTCCAGGGCCTGCGGATACCCACCAGCCGGTTGGGGCAGATGCTCTAAGCACGGCGTGGGTGCCTTTTGGACTTGGCCCTTTGGTTGGACTTCCTGAGTACCACATAGACCAAGGAGAAAACGTCTGTCAGGCATCCAGTCACGAGAAAGGGAAGCCAAGGGGAAAGCGGAGATAGAGAGAAGACAGGTTCCTGCCCCCGCCTCCTCGCTCGGCCCCTTCTCAGCGATGCTGGGCAGAGCAGCAAAGCCAGGCCAGCAGGACCAATAGCTTCTCTCCACTCACAGCCGCCCTGACTGCGAGCAACCCAAATGTCCCTCACCGATGAAACAGTCAACGGTGATGCCTGCACATGACGGAGCGGTCCTCAGCAACAACGAGGAACCGTGCGCAGCCTGGGCCAGGGCTGGGAGCTGAGACGGATGCAGAAGCCGGGCACTAGGGAGGCGTCTTCTGCAGGTAATGGAAATGTCCCCAAACTGGATTGTTGCCATGTTTGCACAACTCTGTAGATTTACTAACAAGTATTGACTTGTACACTTAAAACAGGTGAATTTTATGATAGGTAAGTTATACCTCAGTAAAGTGGTTTTATAATCCCCCCCCAAAAGTACTGATACAAGCAAGGACATGGATCAATCGTTTCAATATAATGCAGAATAAAAACGGCCAGCTAAAAGACTACATGCTGTTCAAGTCAATGTTATATGAAGTCCTAGAGGCAAAACAATAGTAATAAAGATCAGAACAGTAGCTGCCTTGTGTGTGTGAGCTGGGGGGTGTTACTGACTGGGGAGGGAGATGAGGCACCTATCCTGGGTTCTGGAAATCTTTTGCATCTTGAGCTAAGTGATGGTGTATCCATATGTAAAAATTTGTTAGGCTCATCCTTAAGGTTAATGCATTTTATGCCCACATATGTAACCATATATAATATATATTGGGTTGGCCAAAAAGTCCATTTTTTCCCCCCGTAAAATAAAAGACACTTCTTTTTTTCATTTTCACCAATAACTGTATTGATTTGGCTATTTTGAGTAGGCCAGCTGTCTCCTGTGTGGTATGATGTTTATCGTTCGTAATTAATGTCTCGATCCGATCACTATCAACTTCAACTGGTCTACCCAACTGTGGAGCATTGTTCAGCGAGAAATCTTCAGCAGAAAACTTTGCAAACCACTTCTGACACATTTGATCTGTTCTAGCACCTTCTCCATACACTGCACAAACCTGTTTTTCCATTTCAGTTGTGTTTTTACCTTTTTTGAAACAATAAAGCATAATATACCAAAAATGTTGTGCATTTTCTTCCATCTTCAATATTAAATTAGCTACACAAAAATTCACCAATTTTGTCACAATATGATCTAAAAAAATTGTATCAAATGAAGTTAAAGACAACTAGGCACTATTAGAGCCATCTTACAGAAAAAACTAAATGGATGTTTTGGCCAACCCAGTATAATGTATATACATAAGTTTATTTTTTTAACAGCAAAGCTTTTGATGCTCAAGTTGTAACTGGCATTGCCTAAAAGTGAAGACATTGGGATTGAGAAACAGGAGCCTACTTAGCGAACTCCTATCCAACCTTCAGGACCCATCTCAGATTATCCCCACTGGCGGAGCCTTCTCTCGCAGTTCTAGATGTAACTAACTGCTCACATTGCTGAACATCCCTTCACAAAAACTGATCTTCTTTACACTGGGAGCTGACCAGGGAGGAATGCAGGAAGTTGCACCATTAATTGGTTAGAATGTGTTTATTAAACACCCACTAATTGTCAACACACACACATACACACCCCTGACAGCCCAAACCAGATACCACCTCAGCAAAAGATACTAGTATCAACCCCCAAATAGGATGTCAGTTCTCAGGCATGAGACGTTATCAGAAGGAATCATTTTCAACATCTCCAGCGGGATCCTCCTCCTTTTACACAAACCGCAGCCCAAAGAGATTGGGGAGCAAACTCAGTTTCCACTGGCCAGTGCAGTAGGCTCCCTCTCCTCTTCAAGTCACCTCTGCCGGCACTGTCCTTGCCCAACCTAGGGGTGGAGCAAGTCCACGTGGGCTCCCAGGAAACATTCCACCGGGTGTAATGTTTAAACTGATGGCCCGGTCACCCCCTAGCTTGCTCCCCGCCGGCGGAGGCTGCCTGCCCCGCCAGCAGTAAGGTCATGCCAGCTGCTGGGGTGGGGGCGGGGCCACAACAGCCCATCACCTCTCCGTCCAGGCCTCTAAACTCTGAGCCACCCCCAGCCTCGGAGTCTCTAGAAACGCAAGTCTGCAGGGGAAACTGCTACAGAAACTTCCCCTGTCCAGTCCATGTGCAAGGAGAGAGGCCGGAAGTGGAATTCTGTTCAGTTCTGCGAACTTCACAGGGGAAACAGAAAGAGGTCGGAAACACACCTCCAGGGAAAGCAGCTCTGTCTGGGTGGGCGGGTGGGCGACTTTTTCCCTTGAAACATGTTTGTGCTAAGTTTCCACAAAGAATACATTCACAATGAAAGACGAATGCACGTCATCTGTGGCGGGAGCCACCCCTCGCCCTTGTCCGAGGCGCTGGCCACCTAAGTTTCCCTTTCACCTGGTCTCAAGGTAGACGCTGGTCCCGGCGCCCCGCGACCCGGTGGGCGGAGCCTCTCGCCCTCCCCCCCGCAGTCGAGCTCCGGGCCAAGGGAGGGGCAGCTCCTTGAAGAAAGTGGCCGGCCGGGCTGGGTGCCCTTCTAAACTCACAGACGGAGCCCCCGGCCCCCTCTCCCAGCCTGCCTGCCGAGGCGCCGCCCCATTCAATTCCCCTAGCCTCGGAGGTACTTAGGAAGTGTGCGAATCCACACATAGGCACACGTAGTCGCACTTTCTCCTCCCCTCCGTGACCCGGGCCACCCCAAGAGCCCACGCACAAACTTCTCCAAACTCGCAGCCGTGGCGGGAGGGGAGCCGCGACGTCCCGCAGGGAAAAACAATGGGACCCCGTTCCCCCCAACACACACACACGTGTGCCGCCCCACCCCCGGGGCCGGCGATGCTGGGGTTTGGGGGCGGGTTCCTCAACCCCCCTCTTCCCAGTGACAGAAACGGGGTCGAGCCCGGGGAGAGAGCGGCGCGGGTCGGAGGTGCCCGGTGTGGGAGCGGCTGCGGAGGGACCCCAAACCGGCGTTCCTGTCCTGGGAGGCTGGGGCGCGTTACCTTGTAGGTTCTGGACTCGGATGTCGCTGATCTGTCCGATGAGCTCCTCGCGTTGGAACCAGTCCCATTCCTGAGCAGCCATGAAGCGCGGGCGGGAGGGCCGGGGCGCCGGGCCGGGCGCGGGCGGCGGGCGCGGGGAGCCTGGCGGGCGGGCGGGCGCGCGAGCGGCACGCACCCGGCGAGGGCGCCGCGGAGCGGGAGGAGCGGCGGGCGCGGGCGGGGCGCGGGCGGGGCGGGCGTGTTCGGGCCGCCCCCGCCGCGGGCAGGCAGCTGGCTGGCGCGGGGCGGCGGGTGCGGGGCGCCCAGGCTCGCGCTCACTCCCCCATCTGGGGGCGGAGGCCCCGGGGGGCGAGGGGAGGGCTGGGAAAGGAGGCTGGGCTCAGGCCGATTTCCCTTTTTCCCCCCGGGTGTTTGTTAGGAGGATTGTTTGGTTGCAGACAGGCAGTGATGAGGCGCGGGGTCCCAACCCCCAGATTGTGATGTCTCAGGGGGCGGTGGGCCGGATGACGCAACCGCGGGGTGAGCCCGCGGGTCCTAGGACCTGGTCCAGAAAGGCCCGCCCCCTCCACCCCCACCTCTAGCGCCGTCCCTCGGGCCCTGTCCCGAGGATGACCCGCTCCTACACACACGCACACCCTTCAAGGCAGGTCCCCTGCCCCCGCGCAATTCGGAGAGGCAGCCCCCTGCGGAGGGGAGGAGCTGAGCGGTGCCCAGCCGCCGCTCGGGCACCTCCGGGAGAGCCCCGGGCCTGGGTAGGAGACAAACGAGTGTGCAAATGCAGTTAGGGGGAGGCTCCCCTCTATCTCCAAATTGGAGGGTGGAGGTGGCAAAAAGGACCTCTTTCCTGAATTTGGAAATTGCAGGGATCCAATCCAGGCATGGCCTCAGGTCCTAGGGAGTGGGGAGCGGCAGCGGACTTCTGGGGAGCTGAGGTACCCCGTGGAGTCCTGCGCCACGGAATCTCCAAGCGCTCCTGTCTGGAGATTTACTGAAAATGAGTGTGGGCCTTTCCGGCAGGGTGTTTGTGTTTCTTTTCACTCTTGAGACTTCCAAGATTTTACCTTGTTTGGGGCTCACAACAAACCTCAGGCAAGTTCTGTATTGGTTTTACAAACAGGAGAAAAGTGACTCTGTGGAGTTGTGGAATTTGCCCAAGGCTGAGGAATGAGTTGGGGGCATGCGGGTCCAGCCACCTCAGGGCTGTGACCCTTTCGGGAGCAGGCGCATGCGCACACACGCTAGCACGAGCACACAATGGCCTATGTATGGGATAGTCCAGGAAAAAAAAAAAATGGCCAGAGTTCACTGAGCATTCAAACGTGGGCTGTGTTCATCATCGCTGTACTCATTCTACTGAAATATCGGCAGCCCGGATGAATGGGCTCCTCCCTCCCTAACAAATAGCTAGGGAGCCCCCACTGGTGAGCATACCTGGGCCCTGGCAGCAGAGCTTGGGGTGAGCAAATCTACCCTCAGGTAGATGACTGGGGGAGGGAGGGGATGGGCGGCCAGCACACAAAGAAACAAGATAATTACAGATGCAAGTAAGTTCCAGAAAGGAGAAAATCAACTTGGGATAAGTAGCTGGGATGGGGTTAGGGGCCAGGAGAGGTCTCTGAGGACTGGCCTTGGAGCCTTGGAGCTGAGCAGAGGGATGAAGAGAGCCACCACAAGACAGCCTGTTGGGCAGGGGTCAGTGGAATCAGGACCTGGGTGGCGCCCTGTGCCCTGCCCTCTTCCAGGTACCACCGGGCGCAGCCACAGATCGGCCGTCCCTGCCGTGTGAGCTGACACGCTGGTGGGAAGTTTATCCAAGTGATGAACAGGAATACAACGCCAAGGTACGAAGCTCTAGGTTGCTTTTTTTTCCTTCTTTATTCTCCATTTGCCACATTTCCCACCATGAGCACGTATTTTTACCATCAGACAGAAAGCCAGTAAGTTCTTTTTTAACCTCTCAAGGCTCTTTCCAGGAGCCATTTTGACTTTTCCTTTTTTAAAATTTTTTATTGATTTTATTGGGGTGACATTAGTTAATAAAATTATATAGGTTTCAGGAGTACAATCCTATCACACATCATCTTTATATTATATCATGTGTTCACCATCCAAAGTCAAGTCTCCTCCCGTCACCATTTATCCCCCCTTTACCCGCTTCTGCCTCCCCCACCCCCCTTTCCCTCTGGTCATCACCATACTGTTGTCTGTGTCTGTAAGTTTGGAGGGTTTTTCTTTTTCTTTATTTCTTTTTCTTTTTCTGCTTAACCCCTTCACCTGCATCACCCAGCCCCCCAGCGCCGCTCCCCTCTGGTGCTGTCAGTCTCTTTTCTACGAGTCTGGTGACTGTTCCTGTGACTGGATCACTGCATCTATGGGGAACATTGCTTAGGCAGTAACAACTCCCTGGCAGGGAGGAGCCGTGATCACCATTGATTGAGCACCAACTGTGTACCAGACCTTAGATTGCCAGCCTGAAGAACCCTAAAGAAGTGCTTTTCTTTGTATCAAAATGCAAAGACACTTTTAGGGCTGTTTTAAAATGGAATAGAGGTCTGAGCCAGTGCTGAACAGGAGACCGGCCTCTCTAGGGTCCTTGGATAGTCATTGTTCCGACGTGTCAATATCACCCCTCTTCCTGTCAGCGCCTCTAAGCTCTGGCCCTCCCTGGCTGGTCTCTGCGCCACCCCCTGGCCCCTCAATCCTGGCTTTGCACTTTTTGATCCAGTGATGGTGAACTCCTGCAAGGCCTGGCCACACCCCTTCACCTCCAGGCCTCTCTGCTCATTCTGATGCCCTTCCCCTCCCTTGCTCCCTCTACTTCGCCTCTACCTGGCTTACGCCTGCTCAGTGTCCACCTCAAGAGAACCTTCCCCAACAGCCCTTGGCCCAGCTGATGCCTGTCTTATACAATCTCATAATATCCTGTACCATCTCGTAATGGCCATGAACCTGCTATCCCGTCTCTCTGTTGCATTGTAATTGTGTTTACTTGATGGTCCCCCCCCCCCGCCATAAACTGTGAACTACTTGAGAACAGGGCTGTGTGTCATTAATTTCTCTATCTGCACACTTAGCACAGAGCCTGGCGTAGAGCGAGGCCTCAGTATTGAGTGAATGGAGGAATGCATGAGACTCATCATAGGCCTGGCCTCAGAAAGCAGGGACCAAATAACAAACAGTTGACCCCCCTGTCGTGGGTCCAAGTAAACTCCTGAGAAGGCGATCAAAAAATGTTTGCATATTGGCACCGGGCAAAGCACATGTACCACACTGTGCGATGCCTCTTCCGCAGGCGAGCACCGCCTCCTGGGACAGGGGGGCCTGTGACTTCCAAGGGGGTTAGGTTATTTGCCCTCTTGCATAAATGGACAGTACTATATTCTTTTTGCACTTTTATTTTGGGGATGAAAAAGTACTCTGTCTGAAGGCTTGTTTTCCCGGGGGTTTCCAGAAACAGATTTTCTTGAAGTTGCCCAGTTCGGCTAGAATCCTTGTCTTTGTTTAAAATTTGAGTTTAGCCAAAGGAAAGGAAGAGACTCAGAGAATTCCTGGTCTGAACCTCAGCGGTCATCGCCTCCAACACCCCTGCTCACGGAGGGGCTTCTGGAACGGCTGGCCTGGCAGTCTTCCTGCCCCCGCTCATGGGGACTGAAGGCTGTGGGCAGACAAGCTGGACGGAAGGTTTGCATATTACCTCCCAGACCCCTTGGAAAATAAGAGCAACAAAGTGTATACTCCCAGCCACTTCCAGGAGAGGGGTGTGGCAGGGGCTCCCACGGGCAGTCGCTGCTTCCTCAGGACGCCGCCGTGGCCCCTTCTGCGTGCTCAGCCCTTTAGGGTCCGGACAGCCCTTCTTCAGCCAGCGCTGCTCTGGTCTTCGCAGCCACCTCGCCGGGCCAAGCAGGCAGGGACCATCTTAGAGGGGGCTAAAAGCTGCTCAGCGAACTGCCCAAGGGCACACAGTGAGGCCTGTCCGGACTTTGTCTTGTAGTCCTAACTATCCATGCACTTCCATACCCAGCATTGCTGGACTCACGCTGTAGACCAGACTAACGCGCTGGTTTCATGCTAGCCATCGCTACCCATTGTCATGTTTATATCATTTTCTAAAAGTCTTAGCTCCGTTAAAGTCATAGTTCTCATCAGCACATAAACACTGCTAGGAATTTCAAATTAAATCCAGTTAAGAAGTTATCCTTCAAACAGACCATGATCCTCTCCTGGGCGAGGGTCTGCATTATGATGTCACAAGGCTACACCGCAGCTTAAAGACCCAGCCCACCCCCAGCCTCATACATTCCCTTAACATGGGTAGAATGCCCGCCCGTGGCCTGTGCTAGGGCCGCACGGTGGACAACACCCAGAACCAGCCTCCGAGGGGGGGCCCATCTAGAGAAGAGCTACTTCAGTAAGATTCAGATCATTTCTGTGGCATAAAATGAACCACACGCAGAAGAGAAACTACCCCTGATCTCGAGCGATTATCTGTAATGTAAAATAGTAACGTGTTCTCTGGGGGTTCATCACATGTTTGGCGCGTGGGGGTGTGGAGGGGTGGTTTAAATGTCCTGCCTCCCAGAGTAGACAGCACGGGTGTCCCAGTCTCCACAGAGAAAACCCTTCACTTCCTCCAGCTCCGAAGAGTCAAGGCTGCTTCCGTGGAGACACCCTGCTGCTGCTGATTATTATTATTCTGCTGGCATTAGACCACTAAGGACTGTCCATTTTGCAGTAAAGCAAATCGTAAAAACTTTTTCCCCCGTGAAGGGAGAGAGATTGGCCACGTGAAGATGTTGGGGGGAGTCAGGATGCTGCAGAGGGAGAGAAACATTTCAGACTCAAAAACAGCCTTTGCTGATGTTAATGCCAGGTAGGGTGAGTTCAAATCCACAGCTCGATGAAAAAGAGATCAAATAGAATCCCTGGGCCAGCGCCTCAAGCTGACATTCCCTGCGCACACAAGTCAATTGCAACAGATGTATTGTGTGTGAGCCTTGTGTCAGCTGTGCGGGTAGCATTCGCTGAGAGCTCACTGTTTGCTGAGGATTGTGTTCAGCGCTTTGCATGATCTCATTTAATCCTAGTAACAACACTTTGAAGGAGGTACTATCAT